CCCCCCTTGTAAAGGGGATCGCGGTCCATCGACTGGGTGCGTCAGCGGTGTGTAGGATCGTGATCCGACGTTGAGTTCGTCAACGGTTCTAAAAGGGTTGGTTGCGATCAACTCCCCTCATACCGCGGTATTGAGGTAGGGTGCTGCGGGGCTGTGTTAATGTTATACGCATTAACCCTCATGTTCGGGGCATGCGATTGGTCCCGTGGCGCCATCATTGAGTATGTGCTATGAATGATGATTGAATGATGATATGATGAAATCGGAAAGGGAACTGTGACCTTTGATGTGCATTTCTATGATGATATCTCTACTTAACTATCTATTACTGTTAACATGCTTACCTCTACTTGTCGAGTCTATTCCCGGTTTTAAAGGCTAGAGTCTCCTAAGTATATCTTCCTGCTTCAAAATGGTTTTCCTATATCTGTATCTATACATATTGCATTTCAACACGTTGGAGTGGGTTACCAGCATCTCTCGCTGAACAGATATATTTGGCTTTCAGGCATAGATGAGTAGACACTGGAGCGCGCTAGAGATGTGAAGCGTAGAGTAGATAGTTCCCTTTCGGCCTGCGTGCCACATTTATGTATTGACATTATTGAGAATCCTAGTTAGTTTGCCTGTGCACTTGGGTTCTCTAGCCTAGGTGTGGCATAACACCCCATACTCTTATATTATGTTTCCGGGATTTTATAAGGATTACCTTTATTATATAAGTTTAAAATGTTCTAAAATTCTGGGGTGTTACAGTGTGATTGAAATGATCGGTACCCTCGAGTACTGCGAGATTGGTGGAAATGATGATGTTGGTGGTTGTTGGAGGGGGAACGACGGTTCCCGGAGGCATAAGGTTGGACTTGGAAGTATAGGGTGGCACTTGGAGGTAAAGGTTGGAACTGTAATAAGGCCGGGGGTAGGCATAAGGTTAGAACAGGGCATAAGGTTGGAACATGTGACATGTAGTGTCACGGTGGCATGTAGTGCCAATGTGTGAATGTCTATTCCTTTCTGATGAGCATGTCGAGTGCTATTCTACTTTGTGATCAGTAGAATACACCTCGAGTTGTACTTGTTTATTGTTGTTGTCTTTGCCTTGATGTTTTCCTACTTTGTGATAAGTAGATTACATCTTGAGCTGTGTTGAGTTGTACTGTTGTTGTTCTTGTGTTGATGTTGTCTTGGGATGTTGATTTCCCTTGTTCTTTTGAGAGTGAAATAGAGTCTTTGCAGTTGACTTCTCTTTATGACTTTGAACTGATATATATTGTATCCCGTTTCGAAAATGATTTTGTTTTATAATATCTATATATGTTACTTAACGCGTATTGATGAGTTACCAGCAATATTCGCAGACGGGGTGTCGTCTCCTTTCTTTATGTGCTTTACAGGTCCTGAGTAGATTTGGCGAGTGCGTTAGCAGTTGGTTGTAGTATAGCTCCCCTGTCTTCGTAGATAGTGTTTTGGGCCTGTGTTTCATATCTATGTTAAACAAGTTAGATTGTTGGTTTTAGACTTGCCTGGTGCATTCACGTTGAGGTGGATGTGGCATAGCACTCCCTGGTTTTTCCCGTTTTAATCTAAGACTTCCGTTGTTGCTTACGTTTTATGATACATGTTAATTGCTTTGCTTACGTATTTAAGTTTTAAAAATGTCATGAAAATCAGGGGTGTTACACTAAGCAATTGAAGATCCAAGTAGCTAAACTTGAGACAGTGAATCAGATTATAACTCACCAGTTGGAAGTTGTTTGTACTGAGCTAGCCACCGTCGTGCTTATAATGAGCCTGTTAGAAATTGAGGCTGAAGTAGATACTGCCCCCTGTGATCGAGAGTGGAAAAATGCTCATGCGGTATGAGATCTTCTTTATCTATTACTTAGCAAAAAAAGGGAGTAGTTGGGACTTAGGGGGAGTAATTTTTGTTCTATGTTCATTGGTTCTACTGATTACTTTTTCTAGACAATGGTTACCTGCACTGGTTTAAGTGCATTGTGGTCTCTTTGGGTCTGTGTCTGTATCTTTGAAACAGTTATCCTGTGGACATGATTTTTTATCTTATGTTTAAGTAACTGTTGTTTATTTCTTCGTTTATTTTGGTTTAACCTCCGTATTCGTCTTTATTGAGTTGTTTTGTCAAATAATAGCCAAAGGGGGAGTTTGTTAGTGTTTTAAGTCTGAACCCCAACTTGTAATTGGCTGAATTATTATGGCAAAATTAGATAGGTTTTAGTTTTAATGTCTGTCAATATTTGAAGAGAATACCTGATCGATCAGACACTACGCCAGAGCGTCTTGGAATTTATCCGTTAGACTACACCGAGATATTTGTGATCTGGCAGAGCAGTTATTTCATGAGGTGTTTTTACAAGAAAGTCATTTCTCAGATATTCTCCTCAAAGGGTAAGACAGTAATCTATTACATGGTATTCAAATTAAGATTACTGGTCTACCTCTCTATAATCAGAGTTGTCTATATAAGGGGGATGATTCAAGGGTCTTATACAACACTACTACGAGATATTCTAGACTTCAATCACTAACTTACTCTCCTTATACTTTACAAGAAACACTCTGATTCATTCTCGTCTCAAGTCATATGTTCTGAAGCTTTACGAAGGAGAACTTGAGAAGAAAACCATTAATGCTTAATCTGTGGACATGAAGACCATGCAACTGTGGGACAGTATAGGGTGAGTCATTGAAACGGACTGCAACAGAGCGGCTCTCTAAGAAGGGATTTGTTGGACTTTTGATTGCACAAATCTCCGCCTTCAACAATCTACTATACCACTACAAATTGGGTACTGACTGTGTGAGGATCACGTTGAGTGAGATTGTTTCATCTCTTACTTTTTTTATGATTGGTGTTTGAGATAGTGGATTGGACACACTGATGGACATTCCCTAGATATAGATACAATTGTATCGAACTGGGTAACCAATATCTGTGTCATTTACTTTCTACCAGTTACATTTTTACACTATGTTCTTTACTGTTGTATAATTTGTTAGAACTATCGGTTAAGATTTGTGTGATATCAACAAGAACCATTTGGGTCAAAAAGTCAATTGATCATTAAAAATTATCAAAATACACAAAATCACAAATACAACTAAATAAACAATAAACTTGCCCACAATCCAAATAAACTATCATGAGCAAGCTACGTTCAAAAAGTACAAGAGAAAATATTCTAATAATCTATTTCACAACTTTTAAATTGTGTAAATATATTTTTACTACTTCAGACTCATACTATTTCAATGTGGAACAAAGAACTTCTACAAATTTTTTTAGAGGGTTTTTTTTTTTTTTTTTTTTTTTTTTTTTTTTTTTTTTTAATAATTTTAAGGATATACTTTTATTATTATTATTATTATTATTATTATTATTATTATTATTATTATTATTATTATTATTATTATTATTATTATCATTATTAGAGTGAATTCCATTTTTGGTCCTACTGTTATAAGGGCGTTTCTAATTTTAGTCCACATTAATTTTTTTTGCCACTTTACAACCACTGTTATTGAATGTGTTCCACTTTTAGTCCACCGTTAATATTTTCGTCAAGAGGCCGTATAATCAAAGGGTATTTTTGTCTTTTTATGTTTGTCTCTTCTCTTTTAATCCAGACGCTTCGTCCTCCTCCGATATTCGAAGATGGCTCTTCGAACAATGAGAATGGGAAGCCAAAGCTACATCGTTTCGTTCGTTCCAACATGGGCCGGCGAGGTTTCTTAGGTTTTAGGTTTAATGTTCTCATTTCTTTAGTCAAACATAGTCTTGGATGAGAAGAAAGGTCAAAATACCCCTAGATTACACGGCCTCTTGATGAAAATACTAACGGTGGGACTAAAAGTGGAACACATTCAATAATAGTGGTTATAAAGTGGCAAAAAAAATTAAGGTAGACTAAAATTGGAAACGCCCCTATAACAGTAGGACCAAAAATGGAATTCACTCTTATTATTATAAGGAATGAGATACCCACATATACAAGCTACTACATCAAATGTCATCATAATTACCTTCACCGAGGCTCAAACCTACCACCTCGCACATAAGGAAACAACTTGGTACTAGTGAACTACAACGTCCTTGATTTTTTTATAATTTTAAGGCTATCCTTTAAGAATCAATTTTACACCCCCATTATTAATTTTGAATGTAACTCGACCTAAATCTAGTGGACTTTACTCAAATTAATACCTCAGAAGTGCTATTCACATGTCATTATTGGGCAAATTATTGTGTGGACCATATTATGTGGACCATAACAAAAAGTACATTTTTAATATACTAAATGTACATTTTTTTTTTGTATTGTATGTACGTTATTCAATATAATGTCCATTCAGTACAAAAATAATGTACATTTCCTGATTACAATGTACATTATTTTTGTACCGAATGTATATTATTTTACAATATACAAAATATGGTCCATACAACTTGTGTGGATCATGGTCCACACAATAATGATTGTCAATATTGTGCCAATTTTTCATCGGTTTAGAATGATTGGGCAAAATGTAATCCAATCTGCACGTGTGTTTATCTCTTTAAAATTATACAAGTTTTGATTATTTAATCATAATAACTGATTTTTTTTTTAAATTTATGATTATTGAATTTTTTTTATTTTTTATTTATATTAAATCCTTTTCCTTGATATCATTATCCAAGTAATAAGCTTTTACAAATTTATGTTGTGTATCTTCTTCCCATCATATTAGTTGATGCCTCTGCTAACCCCATCCCAAAAAGGATGGGACTTACAAAATGATGCCGCATGCAACCCTCTTTTGAAAGTCAGAGAGTATTGTAGGAATGTAAATAAAATAATTAAAAATTACAAATTTGATAATATGAAGATAGGACTCACTTTTAAAAGTGAGAAGAGTATTTAAGTATAATTTTAGCCTAACCAGGGACTGTACCTGTTGAAATTTGCAGGTTTGTTTGGGGAATGAACCAAAATATTACATTAGTTACAACAGTGTTTCCTAAACTTCTGCTGCTGAATACATTAATTACAACAACATATATTACTACTACAAAGTACACACTAATGTACAACAACGTTCACAGTGGTGTCTCTGGCCCTCCAAATGTCTGAAAGAAAGGTTAACTAACTCAAACTACACTGCTAACCATTATTATTGCTGATGTATCAGTATCAGAACGTGATTTTGAAGAGGTTTGGTGGGTTCTTCCATGGCGATGAAGAAAAACCCAGGCGAGATACGACGAAACAGAAGACTCATTTTTTCTGGAAGGTGATCAGACAGAAGAAGGCTAGGCCACGGCTGAGTATGCCTGCAATAATGAGGTATCCCAGACAAGGATACCAGTCTTCAAGACGATAGCCTCTTTGTTTTAAGGTGCCACATCTTGTGATCAGCCACACTCCATAGTACCTGACACCGTAAAGAAAAGATGAGAAATAAGCCACCTACCATATGAGTCAACGAGTACGCCTGTTGAGCATATAATATATAAAATATGAATGTGTAGTTTTACGGTCAGTTTAAACATTTAGTTGAGACAGTTTTGTATCAGAGCAGCGAGAGGACAATATTTTAAGTATTATGGTTGTTCCTTTTCATGTTTGATCTGATACCTCATCGGCTGTGGCAGGGAGGCAGGTATTCATCTTCAGGGAACTAAGCAATGAGTCAATGACATGGACATTAACGAGAAGTTTGGTTGGAAGGAGGGAATTAGGGGGGAAAGGAATTGTAATTCCGTAGGAATTCAAATTCCATTGTTTGATGGACATAAATAGAATTGCGGGGAATTGAAAGGGATAAATGTACTATTTCGGTATGTTAGATGCAGGTAGGTAGAGGATGGTGATATCCAAGCGTCTAACCTTTTAGCATTTGCTATCGAGAATGCTTCCAAAGCCCACTTGGTGTAGCAAAAATCTCCTAATCTCATCACAAATTTATCGCCCTCCTGGTTTGCTACAAGAGTCAATACAACTGGAACCAGGACTGACCACTGCACCAAACAAAATATAATGTAGATTGTTGAGCATAAGATATATACAAAAAGCTGAAATCTATATATATAGAGATTAGTTCATGTAAACATTACTCAAGCCAGTGCAAAAGTGGATGTTTGAAATGCTTACCAGTTGAGCTTGACCAGGGTCGAAGTATATGGCAAGTGCATAAGCTATTCCGGTGACACAGTATATGAGACAAATCAGGACAATGTAGTTATCCAGAATTGTAGATCTAGGATTGTTGAAGAAATAGAACATTGATAGATAAACTGCTGGCTTCACAATTGTGTTGAAATGGTCAATTGTATCCTTTGCTAGAAAATAAGCCAAGCTGCTTATGCCCGAAGCACTCTCTCTCCAATAGTATATTTTATCTGGAGCAAATGATCTCAATGCTGCAATCTTGCTGAGTAAGGCTGAAACAGCAATAAGAAATTTGGTAGACGAGAAACAAATCCAATCAAAACAGGGAGAAAAACAAATCCAATCAAATAGATTAGAATGCTTTTATTGGTTCTTGACATGGATGGAAAGCCTGGAGTGTGAAGTGAAAGTAGAAATTATGTACAAAAGCAGAAGGTATTGTACTTACAGACAGCAATCACGGTGTAAAGATATCCCATGGACCCGAAAGTTTCATCACTCACTTTAGCGAGTGTTCCTAAACAGATTCCAGCAAGTAAGAGAATAAGATAATCTACTGCCTGTATCCTAGCTTCTCTCAATCTCTGCTTGCCAAGCCTGAACAAAGAGCAATACCAATATGTTACTACTAGAGGAAATATGCTGAAAGTGATGGTACTATGGTAGAAGTACTAAGGAATTCATAAACAGGCTATCAGAGTATTTTGAATGTCAGTCGGTTCTTTCTTCTTTCTTCTCATCATTTTTTATACTACTGTGTGGGAGAATCTTCTGTAACTTGAGCAAACTTTATGATCATTGAAGACTTGCTTTATAAGGACCAGCTATGAGTCTTGGAAAAGAAAATGGAAGCAATAAATTGAATAGAGTATAGAATAGGAGTATTTTAATAATGATGGAAAAAAGTCATTACCTTCCAAGAAAAAATTTATACTGCGTCATCACACCTGGTGTTATTCGACCGGACAAGTCCTTTGAAGTCAAAAAATTATGCGTCAATTGGTCCTTTCTCTGTTGAACATTGGATTTGACATCCTGCCACAGCTCTGCTGCAAAAGTTAAAGCAGAAGTGGCAGCAGCAGGATTTCCTCCATGACCTGAATTTTCTCCAGCTGGAGCTGATAATCCAGCAGAATCCAACATCTCTGGTGGTACGGGATAACCATTATGAAGCATCCACCTGAGAGGAAGGTCTTTGTAGCTCACCCCTATGCTTGGACTTAGTTTTACTATTCCCTCTAAAATGTCAATGAAGTGATCTGGAGGATTAACACGCTCTGGGATATGAATCCCAAGGCCTGCAAAGTACTCTTCAACTTTCTTCACTGGTCCATGATATACGGTTTGACCACCCTTGGCTAGAAGTATAAAATCATCAAACATCCTGAACAATGTGTAGCTGAACCAAGATATGGCGAACACACATATTTACTCACAACAATTAGTACAACAATCTAATAGTTGCTGGAATCAGAAACATGCTGTATGGTAAAGCTTGGTGTCGGTATATCAGCAGTGCTCACAAAAGTAATGATCTAGAATCTTCTTATCAAAAATTTTATGCAAAGAAATATAAAATAATTGGAGTGTGAACAAGATATTTGATTCAGTTTGCTCTTTCACTTGCACAGTTGCACTTACACACCATAACTGAAGAAAGTCATTATGTTGTGATGCAAAATATTGATGAAGGTAGAGAGGAAGAAAAGAGAAATTCTAACTATTACAAAAGAACTACCTTATGGTTGTATAAACATTTAAGATCTTATATACCATTGCTGTTCTATACCAGGTATTGGAAAAACGTTTATGGTCTCACAGTACTTTTATGGTATTCAACACTTTTGGTACTTCTCAAGTACGGAGTACTTAATATCATGAATTTGAGTTGGAGATGACTAACAATTCTATTTAAGGAGTGAAAACAAAATAGTAAGACAAGGTGGAGAGAACAAATGTTAAAAACCAGTGTAGATTTAAAGGGGGATACAGTTTGCAATACTACCTGGGTTGGTGAAGCACCATGCATATATTTACTCCTTCAAGGGCTTCTCGTCGAAGAGCTCTAAGTAATAACTGAGAAGAAGAACTATCCAAACCAGTAGTTGGTTCATCTAAGATCAATAAAGAAGGCTCCATAACCATTTCCAGCCCCACATTTACTCGCTTCCTCTGGCCCCCAGATATGCCTCGTTTCTCCACAGTTCCTACAAGGGAATCTCTTACATGTTGCAATCCAAGGGATTCAATTACTCTTTCAACAACTAAAACCTTTTCTGGTTTTCCAAGATCTGCCGGCAATCTAGAAATAAATAAAGTAAAATATTTGAGACAATTAAAGGGATTAACAAAAGCAAGAAGCGACTATATTTTATATTAAAGATCAGATGGGAATCAATTTTCAAATTATATATTAACCATAAATTGTTTCATTTTTTACACCATGCAATAGATGGGTATGCAAAGAAAATTAATGTAACATACCTGCACCTAGCACTAAACCAGAGATTTTCTTCCACTGTCAAGTTTCCATGCACTGTATCATCTTGGGGGACAAAGCCAATGATTTTCTTGTATGACCGCATACATTCAGGCTGTCCATTTATAAGAATCAAACCAGTCATGGTGCACCCAGTAGCTTTTCCAGTCAAAGCAGATAAAAATGTTGTCTTTCCAGCCCCAGATGGACCCATGATTGCGGAAACATGACCAGGCGAAAATTTACCTGACACGCACCTTAACAAATGTTTATCTTTCCCCTTCAAAGTAAGTGTCAGGTCTTTAAAAATAACCTCAATAGGGGGTCTGGCCCCAAGTTCAAATTCATTTGCCATCGAAATGACACCAGAAAAGGTCAGATTCTTGTTCTGCTCCTGCATAGCTTTTTCTTTCTCAATTTCATTATATGCATATCTAAAAATTTGGCTGCGAGTATGCAATTCCTTAGTCTTATGCTTCTTCAAATTTTTATCTCCTATCTCCACATTAAAACCCTCATGACTCTCAGGGTTTTCTTCAAGTTCACGCATCATTTTTGTAAGGTTGCTTTGCTTCTTTGCTTTTGCTTGAGACATACCAGAGGGCACAGGTGGCAAGGGAGCACCACTTCCAGATTTAGGCTGACCTGTGCCCTTTGATTCTGCCATTGAAGGCTTTCTACGGGAAAATGTTCGTGAAAACGATTCTTGTAGTCCACTTGCATGCTTTTTAGCAGTATCCTTTGCAGATTTCCATTTTTCACGCGCCTGTGCTGTTTCCCGTGCACTTCTTGCAGCAGCTTCCCTGGACTTTGCTTGTTTTTTCTCTCTAGTGCTAATAACTTGGTCAGACCAATTGTATATAATGAGAATTACAAGTATGATTCCAGCCTAATCAATGGATAAAAGAGGGCAGTTAGGCATATATATAAATAAAGCATTTATCCAAGAGGTGACTCATATCCTTATCTCAAAAGGATTAAAATAATTCTTTGCAATGTAAAGAATATGGCAAGGTGGAGTAGAATACGAAACCTTCCTCCCTTCCCAGTGCTTACTATTTCTATTTCCACAGCCTTCTCTTTTCTTTCCCTATCCATCCTTTTAAATTGTATACACTTCACCCATCCCTCCTTTTCCCTGTGGCCTCTTTACTTCTTCAGTTTAGGTCAATCAATCAATGCATTACAATCAGACAGCTAGACTTTAAGCATGCAAGTCAATAGAATGAATTTTCTTAGAAGTGCATCTGCATATAACTTATATTTATAAGATTAGTGAAAGAATGACTTACGAAAAAGAGCAGGCCATATGCTGTAATATTTTGATTTTCAGTTTGCTCTTCACAAGTAGCCAATTCGTAACACCCTGCAAAATCGGGTTTGCTGTTATATCTATTGTCAGAGACTAGGCTGATGTTTAGACCATAAGAAAACATTCAAAGGAACAACGTATTCAACAAGATGAATGTTTAAAGACTGCAGGAAACAGAGGAGAAGTGACAATTAGTTTCAGACACCGCCTTCCACCTTGACATTCACTGAACAATGAAGCTTATTGAGATACATGAAAGCATGAGAAAGACTTACTCGTTTGCTCTGTTGAGCCAGCTCTGCAGTAATGGCTGTAAAGGACATAAAATCAAGAATAAGGTAACTGAGTGCCAGCTTATCACCTTCAAAACATGAGTTACAGTATGCACAAAATATGAACTGATAGACTGAAACATGCATTGAGAAAAATGGGGAAAAAATAATATAAAATTGGCAAAATGTCTAAAGTGTTAGGATAAAAATCAATACCCACGACTGCAAGGATTTTTCTGGGTCACTGTTGGACAGTAAAATCCTGCTTTGCAAAATAGATCAGAATTACTCACAAAATCAACCCACACATCTGCTCCACCACAGGTATGATTTGACTCTCCAGGAGGCAGTTGATAACTGTACCTGCAAATCATCAACCGGGAATATAACTTTAAGGCAAATGCAAAAAGGAATAAACAGGAAAAAATAAAAATAAAAAATAAAAATAAAAACTTTGTCTAGAAAAGGAACTTACGGATCACATACACCTGTAGTGTCATTGAGTTTGCCGACAGGGCAATAAGAGCCTAATGGGCAGGCTTCACCAGTGAAAGAACAAAGGATCAGACAAACAAACAAAATTGTGCAAATTCATAGTGATTGTAGGATCAAGAAATGTGACTCTACAATGTACGAGTTACCCTATTCAACATCTTCAAATAATAAGAAAGAAGCACAGTATAGAATCAGAGGCAGACAGAAAGAAAAATGTGAAGAAGTTTCTGAACTTATGAGCTAATAATATCCAGACAACTCACGTATCATGCAGGTCAGACCATGAGGACAAAAGAAACCTTCACAGCAAGCTTGACATTCAAGAGTTCTGGACGGTATTTCCTTTGAATTTTTAAGGTCTACCTGCACATCTTTTCCGACACTACAAGCCCACCCTGGCTCACAACCGGAAACCCATGATGATAAATTACAGTTTATGTTAGGATTCACATAGTTGCTACTCTTTGTTCCACTGTCTTCCAGTGTATCCAAAATTATGCTTGACGCATAAAATTTCATCTCTGAAGCTGTACATAATCGCTGCATAATATCCCCTATCAATCCATAAAAAATGTAATATAATGTCAAATAAATTAAATTTGAAGTGGTTGAAGGGATGTATTTCTTTTCAACAAAAACTCTAAGCTAATAAATGGACTACTCATTTATTATTTATATATCATATTGCTGTAAAGCATATTATCTCTCATGCTTCAGCAGCTCAAAATATGAACATTATTTATGTTTGTTAAATTACAATGATAAAGACTAGTAATCAAAAACAAGAAGAAAAACATTAGAAAATACCTTTTGTCTGTTTAACGCAGTTGGAAAGGAACTCTGTGTCTTTTGAGAAATCAAATGCTGCTTTCCAATCAGCATCCCTATAACGCAAACATCATTTCAAATTTGAATGCCGATTTCAGTAATAAAATGCAATGCCATTAAACATAAAACATAAATTAAATTTTAGTTATTTTCATGAACATTTTATTACTTTAGGCATTAAATTAAAAATGTACGTTTTTGTAACTTTTAACGAGAGACTAAAATGATCAATCGTAAATATTTGAGCATAATTTTTTTTTTCTTAATTAATAATTTGAATGCTAACATTGTTTCATGATCCTTCAAATTTCTGCATGCAACATGCATGCATGTGGAGAGCTATACATAGGCCTATATATACCCGGATTGCTAAGGCTGAAGAAGGACTTACACATTGTCGACGCAATAACGCAATTGTGTGCGGACGCTATCATCGAAAAGGGAGTTGAAATTCTTAAACTTATCATAGACGGCCTGCGCGAAGAGCTGGACCGCCGCCGGATTATCCGTATCAGTGGCGGCGTGGCCCGATCGCGGTGCCGAAGAAGTCAAAATGAGGATTAAAACCGGAAAAAAGCTCCGAAAAGCGACATTATTGTCGTCGTTTAAGCTTCCTTCTTTTCGTATACGCATTTTCAGGCCAAAAGGGGCAAAATTGCTGTGGAAATTCGTGAAGATTTGGAAATTGAAAATGGAACAAAACTAGGGTTTCGTTGTCTTGGGGGGAAGGATAGGAGATGGGAAGTTTGTTTGTCGAGGAAAGAAATGGCGGGGAGAGAAACATGGAGAGAAGAGAATCGAGAGAGGAAGAGAATACCATGCTTATACCGTGGACCAAAATTCACGTAGCATTGGTAGCAAGCGGATCTCTAATATAAGTTTTATTTTAGAAAAAATTACAATTCTGGTTCCTCAATTATTTTTCAATTGTCAATATAGTTCAGAGTTTTTTAATTTCAACTAATATAATTCTCAAATTAAAATTTAAATTATTATTATTATTATTATTATTATTATTATTATTATTATTATTATTATTATTATTATTATTATTTTGAGGACAAAAGGAAAACATTCATTAATAAAAGTGTTCAATACAATGCGGAATAGAAGATAACCAACAAGTGAAATTAGTCTGAGAAATAGCAGCCCATGCTAATGCGTGGGCGAGCTTATTCACTAATCGAAAAATAAACTGAAAAGACACTGTTTCAAAGTGTCGTTTCGAATCTCGGCACTCCTGAATCACACATACAGCATACGAGTTATCCGGCTACGAACCATTTATCAACTTGCAAACATTTTGGCAATCTGAGAATATGAAAATCCTTAGCAAGCCCAAATCTTTAGACCAGGAAAGAGCTGCTTTTATTTTTATTCTGAATGTACATTATATTGTATAATGTACATTCTGTACAAAAATAATGTACATTTAGCATATTAAAAATGTACTTTTTATTATGATCCACATAACATTGTGTGGACTATGATTTACCTTCATTTACAGCTAAAGCTTCCGCTAAATGAGGATCCCCCATGCAACGTGACAGGATAATAGGGCTGGCACCCGACCCGGATCATAAGTGGGCATCTGACCCGACGCCATATTTGACCTGGCACCACATGGAAACCCAACGGGCAAAACTCCAACGGACAGAATTCCAACAGGTCACCTTTACTACCATTGAAGCCACCATTGAAGTCACCATTGAAGTTGATGAGAGTGAATTAAAGGCTTAGGCTCCCCATTTATGTCCTATGTTGTTACCGTTAGGACATTGGCATAAATAGGGCTCTCCTCAGCTAGCAAAGGACACACTATATTTTCTATACTAAGATACTAAGGCAATACAACCATTATACTTCTCACAACAATATTAATCTCATAATAATATTCCCAGTAACATATTCACCGTCATTGGTGCTTTCATTGAGAGCCTGAGTCCAACACTCAAGCAGGCTACGACACACACAACTCATTCACTCTTTCAACAGCAAGCTTGAAAGAATGGCGTCCCGCAGCTCCCACGGTTCCCGCAACGTGAACAATGGCAATGCCTCAGGTGACCTCCGGGACCAACTCACCAACAATCGTGGAGGGGACCTCCAAGAACGGCTCAACAACGGGAGGCCCGGGGACCATCAAGACCAACTCAACAATGGAGGGGCGAACCAAGCCGTGAACCTCTAGGCGACCGCCAATGCCATTCAGTAAGCAGCGACAGTGCTAAATCAGGTGGCGGTGAGATTGCAAGGCCAAGTGGCCCCGCCGCGACCTCAGGAAATAGAGGTAGAATCCCAGCGGAGGGTAGATGCCCAACAGGACGCAACCCGTGCAGCGAGGGACGCAAGGCGTCATACCAGGACAGGGGGTCCAGGGGAGGGCACCCAAAGAAGTGGACCGGCCAGACGGCAACCAGGACCCACCTGCTCTGCACTGGAACGATTGGGACACGGGGCGCCCGTGCGGCAAAGGCCAGAGTCACGGGCCGAGGGGTCCTCCGCTAGAGGCCCTTGCTGGCACGAAGATAGAGAAGGAGAAAGATCAACCACAGAGAGGATGGGCGAGTCTCGTGGGCCGGCCCCGCGCCGGCACGGTGGTGAGTCGGCCCTGTGTCGACACTCGGATGAGTGACGTGTCGATGAGCCGGCTCTGCGTCGGCACTCGGCGGACGAGCGACGCTGTAACACCCCGTGTTACGATCCCTAAAACCAACCCGCGGCCTATTTGGGCAACGCCGGCAGCGGGCAGCTGCCCGCCGGGCACCCGCTGCCCGGAACAGTGCCGCCGGCGGGTGATCTCTCACCCACCGGCTATCCGCTGGTTTGTACCCAATTTGGGATTTTGGCTTCCCCGTTTGATGTTCCCCCGATCCCCGTGGTGTCCCAACGGACTCTGTCTATCGTTCCTATGTCTAGTTTGATATTTCGGGTACCGTTCGTAGGTTGTATGAGTCTTATATATTGCATGCTAGTTGAATTGGTATCCCGTTGACCTATGTGAAAGAAGTATGAACCCCTTAGGATTATTCTTAGTATGTGAAGGATCACGCATAGGAGTTGTTATACGTTTTCTCCCCCTTCCCAATGTGTTAATGTGTGTTGCATGTGCTTGCTATGTGTGCATGATACCCCAATCCGGTTGCGATCGGATTGGTCATTCCTGAGCTGCGGTTCAGAAGCTGGCTGCGGTCAGATTTACACTCTTGGGCTGCGGTCCACCGTTTGGTTACGATCAAACGTTTCTACATGAGCTGCGGTTCATATTTCCTGGCTGCGGTCAGATGACATACTCTTGGGCTGCGGTCCACTGTTTGGTTGCGATCAAACTATGATGAGCTGCGGTTCATCGGTCGGTTGCGATCAACCCCTCCGTGTTGCGATACGGGGCAAGGTGCTGCGGGGTCGTGTCAGAGCTATATGCGCTGACCCTCATGTATGGGCATGCGATTGGTCCTGCGGCGCCAACAAAGTGTGCTATGTGATGAGATATGGATGAGTTGTTGTTATGAATGTCTCGGGAGGTGACTTTGGGATTTATGCCGGGAATCGTATATGTTGGGTTGTGGATATTAACTGTGCTTATCTTTATCTGCCTTGCCTGTTTCCCTATGCTTGTGAATTGTTTATGCTTGATTATGTTCGTTGTCTGTGCTAAGCCCTATCTGCTGAGTCTATTCCCTGTTTTGAAAGCTAGAGTCTCTTAGGATATATCTTCATGCTTCAAAATGGTTTTTCGTATAACTATGTATATATCTATATGTATTGTATTTGAACGCGTTGGAGTGGGTTACCAGCATCTCTCGCTGAACAGATATATTTGGCTTTCAGGCACAGACGAGTAGATCACTGGAGCGCGTTAGAAGCTTGAGGCGTAGCTTAGATAGTTTTCCCTTTTCGGCCTGCGTGCCATGATTTAGTGTTGATACTGATTGAGGTTTAGAATTCAGCCTGTGCACCCGAGTTCTCTAGCTCGGGTGTGGCATAGCACCCCGTACTCTTTGTATCGTAATTTGGGATTTAATGAGATTCTGTCTTTATTATATAAGTTTTAAAAGCCTTGAAGATCTGGGGTGTTACAGACGCGCTGATGAGCGGGTTCCACACCGACACTTGGGTGGACGAAATGTCGAGGAACCAGCTCCGCGTCGACACTCAGATGGACGGCACGTCGATGAGCCGGATCCACGCCAACACTTGGGCGAGCTAGCTCCACGCCGACACGTGGAGGAGCGGTAGCCAGCCCCGCGCCGGCACCCTGACGAGTCGGCCCTGGTTGAGAGGCTGCAAAGAAGAATCGAGGAGTTAGCGAGAAGGGTGGAAGCACGGGAGCAGTCGCCGGAACCCGAGGTGCGGATGGTAGCACCATTCTCCCCAAGCATCATGGACGTACCTTTGCCGAGGGACTTTAGGTTGCCTGCCATCAAGGCGTACACGGGGGCCACCGACCCACGTGTCCACATGACGAGATGCAAGGCTGCTATGGTAATGATCGGGGCAGGGGACGCCATCATGTGCCGAGCATTCTTGTCTACCCTGGATGGAGCGGCCCAAGACTGGTTCAACACCATCCCGAATGGGTCGATCCAAAACTTTGGGGATTTTTCCAAGAGCTTCCTGACATACTTCTCCAGTAGCATACAATGTAAGAAACCCTTCTCTCACCTCTGTGTAGTAAAGCAAGATAGAGGTGAGAGCCTCAAAGACTTCCTGATCAAATGGAAAAAGGAAGTCAATAATGTCTACGACTTCGACTCCAAGGTGGCGATCTCGATATTTATCCATACCTTAAGTTCGGGGTATTTCCAAAAGCAGCTAAACGCTCACCACCCCCGCTCTTACGAAGATCTAATGAGGATGGATAGCCTCTATGCCGAAGCCGAGGACGTCGACAGGAAGAAGAAGGACGAAGAGGATGGTAGGAAAGGTGGGAAACCTGGTCCGCCCAGCCAGGCACAACGCTCGAACCACCCGACCGCAGGGAAAGGCCGAGACCACGAACGACCTCGCCTGGTCCCCTTGCGTAATATAAATACTCTTACCCATCCTGTCAGTGTCATTCTAAAGCAGGCTGAGGAGATGAGAATAGTGGAGTTCCCACCAGAGTGCATGAAGGTCTCTCCGAAAGGAGACCAAGCAATGTACTGCAGGTTCCATAGGCAACCCGGGCACGACACAGATGAATGTAACATGCTGAAGAGACAAATAGAAGAACTCATCCAGCAGGGCTACTTCCGACATTTCGTCAAGCGATCCAAGCAGCAGCAACAGCCGCAACACAATCCACCAAAAAATGTATAGAGGAAGGAGGATGGCGCCGAGCCGTCCACCTCGAACGCCAAAAAAAGAGAACACGACCAAATATCTGAGCAGGATGATAGCGAGAAGGAAACTGAGGTGGCGCCCCGACGACAAAAGAAGAACACCATACACTTTATGTAACACCCCGTGTTACGATCCCTAAAACCAATTAATCATTTAACCAATTACCCAAAAGAAAGAATTAAATCACAATAATTAATTAGGAAAGGCCCACCATAGTCCACGGGCCCTTATCCCTAAACCCAATCCTTAGTCCCAAAAGGAATAGAGTTAGCAAACCTATAGTAATTAAGCCTAAGTAAGACTCTTAGATATATAAATAGGAAAGATAAGGAGGCACCTAGAATCCCCACCACAATAATCCCTCAC